CGTGGATTCATCTTCCTATTATACACACATGCATTTCCAAACATTTGGACTACCTATGCTGCAAATGTATTATCTTTTCAATTTACACACGGCATCTATTGCACGTCTGTCCGTCCTGGGAGAGGGATCCCTCCTCTGTTGCTCTCCCTGAGGTTTCTCCCATTTTTCCCTTTAAACTGTGGGTTTTCTCTGGAAGTTTTTCCTTGTATGATGTGAGGGTCAAAGGTCAGAGGGTGTCATATTGTCATACTGATATTCTGTAGTTCTGTACAAAGTCCACTGAGACAAATGTAACATTTGTGATATTGGGCTATATAAATAAACATTGATTGATTGATTGATAGTATATAAAAACAACAGTGGGTCATGTTAACACAATTCAATACCTTTTATTAAAAGGTGTGTTTTAAAGAAGTTTGTTTAGCAGAAAACTGTCATTGCATGATAAAATAACAGCAAGATTATAATGAAAACCCTCTCAAACTGTGAAACTATCCACTGAACGAAATGAGCTCAAAATTATATAAACTTTTCATTATATCTCAAAAATCCATGGGCCATAGAGTACTATGTTATGGACCGAAAAGATCTGCTAAATGTTCGAATGTCTTTCTTTTTAAATGTTGTATTGGTTATTAATTTGTATTTCTTAATAGGCTTAAGGATTTACATGACTAAAAAATGGCAAAACAACGACAGCAACATGGCTAGCTAGCTATGGCTAACATTCCCTCTGATTTTAGTTACACAGATTTACTGCCCACTTTTTTTTATTGATGTGTTATACAAACAATTCTCAAACACGGCACCAATATTGTCATATATAAATGTTTGCCACACTGTAAGGGAATATGTAATCACTGGGCTGAAGGTTATACAGATACTAATGCAGCTTAGGGTTCTAGATCTTCCCACTTCGATCAATACTAACAGAAGCCTGTTTGTTTAACATGTTCCGTACATGTGTTCAGTTTCATGTACATCCAACCCAAACACCTCAGCCCCAACAGGAGCTGCATAGTGTGGAACACAGCTCTCCAGATTGGAACCCAGCTTGAGGTAAAGGTTAATGGAAGCGACCTGCAAAATAGAGATTTACAACTACGCCGTCTGCTGTAGCTACCACGGCAACACAAGATTCTTTCTACTAAAAACACCTTTTTAAAAAAAGAAAAAATCCAAAGGGAACACTTTTTATTTCCGTATGGTGTCGGCTGTATAAGCTGTCCCTGGATAGTTGCTCGATGATTCACATTAATATGTGAACTCGAGAAACTCAGGTGTCAGGTTGAAAATTGCCTTGAGGCAGGTTAAGATGATTCTGCCAGGCTTAAGATCAGAGGAAATGGGAAAAGAGAAGAACACCAGAGAGAACAAGTCCCAGTCTAATGTGAACAAGGGAAGGACAAAGCGGAGCTGTCTCTCACCCCTGGAGAAACTCTGAAAATATCTTCTGTTGTCAGAAGCACTTAGACAGAACACATGTACCTGTGAAGGCCATACATTTACCCATACATGTTAGTCAATGAATCATCCACAGCTTGTTCATCCATGTGTGGCTCAGGTTGTCTCGTATTGACCTTGTATCTCTATTATTCTACCAAAAGCAAGAAACGAAGGGCCCATACAACCATTTTTCTTTTTGGTTCCCAGGAGCATTGCTATGGGATTTGAAACAACAAAGATGACCTTTATTTATGCATTCAGACATCTGTTTGACTTAGTTTGGATCGAGCGCAATGTATTTATTCCGCTGATACTCATGACGGATAATAACCTTATTAATTGCTTTCAGATGAAAAAGACAATTGATATTTGTACCTTTTTGTATTTTAAATAAGTTCATAACCTATAGTTTGTGCACATTTGAGGATACAATATGGCTACTACCTACTGTATGGAAGTGTTATGTAATGAAAGCAATGTGGCTTTGCATTATTGGCTTATAATTTATTCGCTTAAATGTAACAATGGAAAATACATAATTATCTAAATGTTCCAATCTCGCATGATAGTTTATCCGTACTGCGCATAATGAATATATTCAATATACAGTATATACACACAAATTATATTTTTATTAAGTCCTCCATTTCAGAATCTTCTTCTTCTTTCAAGGTTTAAGAAACAAACATATTTAAAAGCATGTTTGGATGTTTGTTCCATTCGATCAGGAGGTTCTGAGAGAGCTCAAAATGCAGTGCTAATAAAATCACGGCCTTAACATTTGAGACCCTAATGATTGTTCGGCATGTAAACGTTGCTGGGCAACAAACACAGAGCAATTCTTCTATTCAAGGCCACTGAATTCACCCCCCCCCCCCCTCCTTGCCTAATGTTGAATAACTGACAGACACTTAAACCAACAAGCAGAGGCAATTCAGTGGAGGAGTAGAAAAGGTGAGGGTACATCGCACGGTTATATTTCCTGACTGCTGTCGGCTCGGCTGTGGGCTGGCGCTGTCTGTATCTCCATAACTTCACAGGGTATTAATTGTTTCAGCGCCGTCAGCAGAATGGCCTCTGCTTGTTGAACCACATCCAGGAGGAAAGTCATCAGCCAAATTGCATGGGAGCAAATGCTGAGGCTCAGCCACAGTGCAAGATGCTGAATTTTGAGATGGTTGTTGGACCATGGTGGGCTCCATTGTGAGAGGTGCATTGAAAACGGTTAACCAGCACTGAGATTGAATAGGATTGTGGAAAAGTATCATGAGAAACTACTAATTTATGTACAGGATTACCGTAAAAGTACGTGATATAGTTCAAAGTCATCATTGACATTCATGTGACATGTCTCACCAATGCTGATTAGTATGCTTGAATATAATATACCATTAGATCAAGTGAAGAGGGCCGTTTGGTGGCAATCACATAGCAAGTGATTAGCTGAGGGAAAGAGCAAGAGGTGCTGCGGGGAATAAAACCCCATGCTCGCTTACAACACTGCTCGGGGAGATTTGCATTGACATAGTACGACCTTCCACAGTGTGAGGCATACATCAACCCACCCACAATTACTTTGTGTTCTATTAAGCAAGGGATCCATGGATACTTTGAACAAAGGAATAGTGGTGGAAGTCATATTTACCTAAGTAAACGAACTATGCTGAAAAACTATTCTATTTTGCGTAGAATAAATGGCTTAAAAGTACATAAATGCAAACTATACCTCAACAATAAAGCACTTAAAGGAAGTGATTGTGACTTGGTGCAATGAGGATATTATATTATTCAGGAAAGTATACTTTTTGACTTCCCGGCTGTTGGCTTTTCCGTCATACTATGTGTTTGACTAGTGAGGTTAAATGTTTTTTAATGGACAACATTTTTCTACAAAACAGTGGAGGGAAACTCTTCATATTTGTATGTTGTGCCCCTACTGTCACATGTGTACATGCTTGTATGTGTGCCAGCTCTAATTGGTTAGCTGGCTAGCTCTGTTGTGATTGGTTAACGCCTTACAGATTTTCTCGGAATAGTATAGTATAGTGGTAAGTCTATTAAAATAAATTCAGCAAAGCAAAACCAAGCTTTTTTTTAATATTTGTATATGTTATGTTTTCTGTTGGTTGTTCTTACCCTTGTTATTTTCTTAGAGTTGTGTGACTCTTATGACTCACTGATATGTTCTAGTTAGGAGTTATACTGTTTTTTGAATCGTTTCCTTTTTACTGAATATCACTGTCCAATGTTATGTTGGGTATACGAAAACCCAAAGATCCAGCATCTGTGCCAGCAAGGCATTTTATGATGTATTAACAAATCATGTATTTCACTTTAGAGTTATTAATAGATCACATGGATGTCAGTAGAAGGCCAGCTAAATATAAATGTAAAAGAAGAGGGCAACAGTGAAGATGCAATTCACATAAACAATTCAGCGGCCTATGCCTCCCTTAAATACACGCTTTAAAAATACATGAGGGGTTAAGCAGCGGGGGCCGGTGTCGATTTACTATTGGTACATTTCAAGCGGCACAGTGTGGAATTTTAAGTAGAATCTGTTTATAACTTCTGGTTTCAATCTACCGTATACTCTCCTGATTACACAGAACGTAGGAATCAGGGTCATGCTGTAATATACCATGTCAGCACCATGGACAGCGTCCTTCCGCACTCGATGTTTCAGTGACAATGTGTGTAACTGCCTTTTTAAATGGATCTCATTTTACACACATAAGGGGTTGTGCATATGGGTATAGACTACTTGTAAGGACCCTCGGATCATACTGTATTTCCTTGAATGTAACCACAATTACTATAAACCACACCATCATACAAGTCTAAAACATAGCCTGAAACTGAGTTTTACCACCTAAAAAAAAAAACCTTAGGATTGTGCACACATTTTAAAATGTAACACTCAAACTGGCCCTGTCACAAATAGATGAACACCCACACACAACTAAATACTTGACCACAATAATCATAACACCTTTTTTTTTATCTATAGGTCTAACATCTAACCTTTAACTGAGTCTTAAAATAAATCGAATGGTCTTAAAATCTGAAGATCTCACACTCAAAATGGCCCTCAAAAATATAAAAGAGCACACACACACACACACACACACACACACACACACACACACACACACACACACACACACACACACACACACACACACACACACACACACACACACACACACACACACTACAGGAAATAAAAGGTTATATTGAGTAAATGATAATGTATTCATTATCATCACCAAATTCAAATGTTCTTTAACAAAAACGGTGATTAAAATGTCTTCACAAAACATTTTGTATGTGTCCAAGCAAAAGCTAGAATTGGTTACGAACTCAAATCTTGCTTTTAGTAATTGTTTTCATTTTCACTGATGAGAGGATCCATTTCCGTGTCAACCCAATTTATTATTATATCTTTTTTATAAACCATGCTATACCCAAACATTCAACTCACGAAGCACCCTTGGACAAGTTCACGGGTCGCACTCTCACCAGAAGAGGGCATTCGGATTCTGCCTGACAAAGTTGCCTTGACATGCAGACGTGATTTACAACAGCGTCATGCTGCATCTGAAACCGGGCAGCAGCGAAAACGAAAGCAGGATTTGGAAAGAAAGCTTGATATTTGGATGATTCTTAATAATTTCGCGAGGCTTGTTGACAGCGTTCCGCAGAGACTTGGATAACCGAACGCCACTTTCCTCTGTGCGCCATGCGCGGATCACACTGAGCATTCTTATGAGAAAAAATACACCGGGAGAAGAATCTAGGGGATGCATTTGGAGAATTACGTCCCTTTTTTGTGCATCGTGCCACTGTACTTGTCAAGTTGTGTGATCGGATTCTTCTAAGACTGGCATGAATTCCCTGGATTTGGCTTGGTTATTGTCTGCGCTTACTGCGGTACTCTTTTTGTCTGTAACTTGAAAAAAAAAAGCTTCCCTCGCTTCGAAGACATGGATAAGGAGTTCTGAAACGGGATTTTTAACCCTTTTAATCTGGAGTTGGAGGTAAATAACATTGGACCAGCTTCGACTGCACGGTTATACATGCAGCACTAAACCGGATAGCACATCCAGGTCCGGGAGAGTAAAGGGCAGGTGCGCTTTGGAGTCGGCGGCTGCGCGGAGAGACCGGGCTAGTGGATTAGGACGGTACCTGTCTGTGGAGAGCGCGTCATGCGGACTCGGGTGTCGCGCAGTAGAAGCCATTAAAACCTGTAGGCTGGAGCTGACAGATAAGCGGATATGGGTAAGTTATATTTGTCTTTTTTATCAAGTAGCGTGATTCCAAATTATTCTCCAGTTGTCCTTCTTTCTAACAAAAAAACCCAAGATGCATCGTGTCTCTGGAGCAGAATGGGTTGTTCTCATCAGAATTTGTCGTCTTTTTAAAATGTATTTTTGTAATATCATAAGGTGTTTTTCATTGAAGTGCTTCGGGGGGCTTGGGAGATGTGGGTGAAGCTTGTGCTTGTATAGTGTGTCAGTCGCAGGGCTGCAATCTGTTTTTCCTCCATTTCCTGGCCATAGCATAGAGCCTAAGGATACTTATTTTTTTATTTGTTTGCACCTCTGTGTGCTTACAAATCTGCTTCTAAAATCACCAGTAAAAGCATAAAAACCTGTTTTCCAAATGAGGTCAATCCCTTGTTGTCTTGACTAGTTAGAGTGTTTTGCTCATTGGCATGGACTGAAATGCTAATCACGGTAAATGTTGGAAGCCAGTCAACTTTATAAAGCGTGGCCCTGCATAATCATTGATTTGTGCTTCATCTGTGCATGTTTCCATTGTCCAGTATCAGCCTCAGTTCTAACGCCTCTTCCAAACAACTCTTGTGGGCTGATTTAAGGCACCGAGTCGTGCATGGTTCTGGTTCTCATTCAAGAAAGCCTTCGTATTCTGCACCTGCTTTTTAAAAAAGGGACTCTCCTAATTGAAAACTGTCAATATATCAGTACACTGTGTGTGTGTGTGTGTGTGTGTGTGTGTGTGTGTGTGTGTGTGTGTGTGTGTGTGTGTGTGTGTGTGTGTGTGTGTGTGTGTGTGTGTGTGTGTGTGTGGACAATGCCCCACTCCTTTAGTAATGCATCATGGTTTTTCTCTCATGCACGTGTTTTCCCCATCTTATTCTCAGTTATATATAAGGATAATTAACCATTTAGCCTCGGTCTGTTTCCCTTATGCACGTTGTCACACTCGTAACCACCCTCCTCAACCCTTCTCTAACTCTGTCCCTTCCTTGGTAATGACTGGCTATCCGTTTCCCCCCCAATTTGCCAATTATTTGGGTTCCATCTTCTGCATGCTCCTTGTCTAATTTTATTGTCCGGTGTAGCCTAATCTCCCCAGTCATTCTTAACCGGTATACAGATGGCCAAGTTCACTGGTGGTGCTGTGCCATTAATTGCGAGGCTGCATGATGCATCGACCCACGGTGGGTTACTGCACCGCATCAATATAAGCTACAACAGCACAGAAAGCCATACAGTACAGGCCCGTAGGAGCCCAGACGTAATTTATGTGCACTGCAAAGCAACCATACATGGTTAATCATAGGAGTCTAGTTTATGGGCCTGTTTCCTAATTGAATATCAGAGCGTGTGAGGAAAAGCCCTGCATACTGGAGTTGCAGCGAGTTTGACACACACACACACACACACACACACACACACACACACACACACACACACACACACACACACACACACACACACACACACACACACACACACACACACACACAACACATTTGCCTGAAAAACTGCAGCTTTTGTCAACCACATAGCATCATGCTGCTGCCCACACTTATTCGGTGATTATGTGGCCCTGTAGTCTCAGTTATCCAGCTGACTGTGATGCTCTTCATTAACAGCATGCGACGCACTTATGTTTCATGGGCCATATCATTAGAGATCTGCTTTGCAGGAAGAGAACAGTATGGCAGGGAGTGTAATAAGGCAGCCAGAGCTTCAAGATCAATTCAAACAGCTAAATTACATTTCACACTCTACCTCAGTAATATGAAATAAAATAGATGCAATGCTACTGGCTTCTCTGAGAGTTCACAGCGGGCAACAGATGACCTTTTGCTGGCCCCAATGCATCCAGCAAGGGGATCAGAAAGCCCCACTGAAGGCAATATCAGGGCATTTGTTATTTGCATTTGGTTATTTTTACAGAAAAAATCAATAGCTTGAAGCACTTGGGATCCAGCATTCAATATCTACAATATACATGTTAATACTGCTCAAGTTGGTTTAAGCTGGAATGATTGAGCTACAAATTGAGTACACCATACCATGATTCAACAGTAACACTTGATATTGTTTCTAATATAATAAAATATTGAGCAAAATAAGCCACTTTATAGGTCTATAAATAGTCGTTTGTTATACATCTGAGTACAAATAGGATTGAATGGTCTCAATTGACATAAGACCTTTCTTTGATGCTTGATACTCGTTAGTTCACATCCTCAAGTTATTAAGGAACCATTTCTAGCGGATGTGAGATGTGAGACTCCATTGCTAAGGAAGGGTTAAGGCTGATTGGTCATGCGTGTGTGCAGAGTATTCATGACAATCCTCCCTGCCGTTTCTATTCTGTACTCTTCCTAATCAGTTCTGCAAATACAACACGAGCACACCCGGACACAATGTTTTCCAACCACGGTTGAAAGAGGTCTAACTTGGCAGGCCTCGCTATCATCTCAAAGATAATTGGAGGCTAATAGGATAGCTTAGGCTGGTCTGGGGACCGCCTTCCCTATGTTTTCGGCTGCTGTCCAGCCTCTATGTGCAGTCAAGGCTGAGGCTGGGAGCAGTTTTGTCAATGACAGGCAGCATATAGCAATGAGCCACTTGTGTGCACCCCAAAGTGCACCAGTTAGCGAGTCCATTTGCCAAGTTATTAAGCTACATTTGGTTTTATTTTAGGTCAGCAGTAAAGTGCACTCACTCCCTCTATGTGTTAGGGTTGAGAGGCAGAAACAGCTATCTTCCCTTGCTGAGGACAGCAGGTCTGTCTGCTACATAACAAAGCATTACCTGCATGCCTTTAGACAAACTTCAGCTTAGACTTATCCATTCATTTTGGATTCAGACAGGTAACTGTGTTGGGTGACAAGAAAACATGAGTACGTGCAGGGCTATATATTATCATATGGAACACTAAAAAGAAAGCAAGAAAAATGCTATACTAAAAGCTGTAGAGCAAGAAAGCTGTATGATGTCCTTTTGTTGTTCTGTTGTTTATGTCTTCTTGTGGAACCTACTGCTGCAGGTCTCCCTTGAAAAAGAGATCATTGATCTCAATGGGATTTTACCTGGATAAATAAAGGTTTTGAATTGAAGGCGGTTGGAGGGCGAAAATGGAAATCAACGAGGAAAGTGAGGAGGTGGTTTTGAACACATGCATAAAGAATAGACTATATAAGAATGTCAATGGTGGCAGGGTCCAAGGACATGTATAACTAGCAGATTTCATACAGGACATAAATTGCACATGTAGATTCAGCATGAGAAGGGTAATGGTGAAAGATGCATCAGGTAAGAGGTAATAGAGAACCCAAACCAGTGAGTGACAACTCAGAGGGTGACGTGTGAACCTTTGTGAATAAGATTAGAGGAATAGTAAGGGAAGGAGATGGCTTACAGAGTCATTAGCGCACGGAGCGCTCATTAAAACCCATACAGTGTCAGGAAGGGGGAGAGAGGTGCCTTGTGAGGCAGGCTCAATCTGAAAGAGATGGCGGCGTCACTTCTAATAAAGCAAGCCTATTATGCACGTGGGAAATAAAAGCAATAGGGGCTGTTTCTACAGCGAGTCAAATGCAACATTTAAAAAGCCCACATGTTCTGTCCCCAGTCTATTACAATGTGCTTTGAATGTACACGGAACATTACACATGGGCGTTGTTCTTTATCGGTATTCTCTTCCCACTTCTATTTGTTTTCTTATCGTAACACTTTGATGAACAGTGTTGTTGGCAATTTAGTAACTTTCGGAAACTTGTGAGAAACATGACAAATTGGCTGCTCTAAAAAATACAGCACCTTGTGATCTTTCTAGTTGAAACATTTAGCAAAATTGAAGACACGTGATTGATCTGCGGGCATTATAAATAGCCAACACAAATGATCTGTAATGTTCCACGGTTCCCCTCCATCTGTAAGTATTGATGAAAGATTAATCGGAAAAGAAACATTACGCGTGTCTCTCGCGCTCTCTTAGTCACACACACACACACACACACACACACACACACACACACACACACACACACACACACACACACCACACACACACACACAACACACACACACACACACACACACACACACACACACACACACACACACACAACACACACACACACACACACACACAACACACACACACACACACACACACCACACACACACACACACACACAGGATCAGCAGATGCAAAAAGGGAAATGGCTATGTTGGTTAGCATATGCTCTATTATGCCTCTCAGCCACTCTTCCTGAATGTACCACATGTACATATAACGCATTACTTTTAGGTGAATTAATCACCGGCAATATACATTTTGCGAGCTAATTAAAAGATCTACTACTTCCACCCTGTCATCTTAATCTTATCTCACTGTCATAATGGTCCATACTCGATGATACTGCCTTTGGAAACATACATAAGTAGTGACCCCCCCCCCCTCCCCCCTCAAAGGGGAAATCAATGTATCTTAATGACACATCATTAGAGCCTCTGTAAAGGGGAACGATTTTAATGGAAACAACGCTGTGTCACCTCAGAACAAGGAGCGATATCACAGGAAGCTGCTAACCACAGTTCTTCGCTTCTCAAGCAGTATTTGGAAGAGATCATCCACTATCAACTACTAGCACATATACATAGACGTGTATTCACACTCCGGACAAATGTTGGCAGTCAGGTTGCTATTTATTTGGCAGAGATGAGTTATGTAATTCCATAGGGTCCATGCTGATTGTATTATTTGAACCCGCGGAAAGAAGGATCGATGATTCATGCTGAACTCGTACAGCTTCGGTTTAGTTATACATGAAATGGCTGGAGTCTGCATTCAAATGCCTCCAGGATTGTATACACAACCAGCGGCTCTTGAATGTTAATTTTCTCGGTACAGGCTGCCTTTCATAACTTATCTGCTTACGCCATTAGTGCAATGCTAACTTACGGGATGACTGAATACAGAGATAAAGATGTGCTTGAGCAAAATTATAAATTGCTTTGATTCAACGCTGGTTGTCAGTTTGTATTCATTGTAACCATTCTGTCACGGTAGAGCGAAGGAAGCAGGACCCAAATGCAGATTAAACTGATATACCTTTATTTCAAGGATAACGAAAATAGAACTTGGACAGACAGAACACTCACCGGTGAACACAGTCAACAACGAAAGACGAACCGACAAAGACAGACAGAAAAAACAGAACTTAAATACACACAAGACTAATCACACAAACAAGACACAGGTGAGGAGGGAGGAGAAAACACAGGGGCCACAGGTGAACACAATCGGGTAATCAGACACACCAGGGAAACTAACGACAGGGAACCACAGACAGATCCAAACAAGACAAAACACCACAAAGACAGATCGTGACACATACAGCGTAAATGACATCAATCGAAACAGCTAAAACCATGTCGTTTGTGGTATTTGTCCATACAATGTAGACTATGCTTTACGCTTGAGTAAAACATATTTTCATTAAAATAGAAATTTGAATTATCTCATTAAATGACCAAATAAAGTTGACAATATATCGAAATAATTTTTTTTGTATTAACAGCTGGTAATATCTCACTTGTAATACCCTTGAATCTTATTTGTATACTTATTTTTCATTCCCAACATTGCAGTGATTTGTTCACGTTGCATTATTTATAATATTTTCATCTTATTTGATTTTAGATGTTACATTTACCAAGCTGTCCTCTGGATTCTAGTTTTCAAAAGCATGACATACATGCTGCCTGTTCTAGAAATATATTGTAATCCTGCTTCCTTTTACTTCTTGATCTATATACGAAGTAGTTCCCATGGGTTTTGGGCCTTGGGGGGTTGTGAGTCATCATTCACAGATACAAGATGTTTTCACAAGTTCTGACGTCTTTACATCAATCAGGATATGGAAAAGTTTCCTGAAGTGTGAGGGATTGAGCTGATGACTCACAAACAATAGGTTTACATTTACCCAGAAAATCTGCATGCAATTTCTTTAATTAAAAAGGTCAATTTAAGAGAAGTAAACTCATCTAATGCATGAAAACTTTATTACAGACTCAGTGTCCAGATAAAATAGTTTGTTTATGGTGCTTTTGTTTTGTTTGATGACCCATTTATACTGATTAAGTCCTATTAAATAAACTAGAATGTCCAAACTAGAAATCACGATCCCCCCAATAATGTGGCCCCACTTGGTACATCCTGAATGGCCACTTCCTGTATTTAAGAGCTCCTAGAGGGCACATGTTTTGCCAAAGCCTGCCAATATGTCCCTTCTGCAGCAGCAACAAAAAGCAGCACCATCTGCACTGGTAACTCAATTAAATAGGAATTAGAAGAACATGAGGTTAACTTACAAACTAATATATAACTATAGAGAAGTAAATACATAAGTTGTGCAATGATCTAGCATATAGCAGCACATATTTCTGATTGACTTGACTTCCAAAGTTTGATGTTTGGTGACATTTATTTCAAGTTTTTTTTAATGGATTTTGGCAAAGGGGTTAGTGCCATTTAAAAGTAGATCCACATACATTAATCAATACAGTGAGTACAAGCTTTTTGTTGCTGCTGCAGAAGGGGTGTAACGGTATCCGTATTCGTCCCGAACCCTCACGGTTCGGACGTCACGGTTCGGCACACGCGGTCACACGACGAATACGCTTTTTTTATGAAGGGAAAAAGTCTGTCATTCAGGGCAGTATCCATTACACTATAATCCAGGGGGCGGTATTGCGCTTAAAAGCTGTTTGCCTGCCGCCCTTAAACAACAAATGAAGAACAAGAAGAAAACACAACAAAACGAACAAAATACAAGAAGAAGAGAAGTTAGTATGGTGATTTCAGATAACACACAGGAGCTAGAACCCGCCTGCTTCTTTTAAATCAGCTGTGTGGGAACATTTCTGGTTCCCTGTGGACTACAATAACAATGGAGTGCGAGTGGTGAATTGGGAGGATGGTGTGTCGGCGTTGTTCGACAGCGGTGCGGTATGCTAATGGGACACACGCCAAACATGCTAAATCATATCAGCAGGCATCACCCAGATTTGCCATTCACCGGAGCCCGTCGAAAGACAGCAGCAGTTCAACAGCTTCTCCCCGTTGTTTTTTAAGAAGCCAAAAGACATGAGAGCCGAGAGACCAACATAAATAACGGAAGCTATTGTCATATTTCAACGGCTATGCGCCCTTGAAACACTTTCTTATTATTTATTTTGTAATATTTTCAAGACATTCTTTTTAGTTTCACAGCTTGATGAAACCTTTTTGTTTGACATCAGCCATTATAGATAATATGGTCAGGGTTCGTGTTATAAACTGAGCTATATGGGGGTCTTTAAAACTAACGTGTGCGCACACGCACACACACAGCAGCAGCCCTCTACTTGCTACAAATTTAAATATGAAAAGGTTCAACTACGCACACACAGATTCTCGGCTCGCGCGTTGCACGCTCACAGGCATAGATTGCCTAATAATGTATTGCACACATTGGAGGTCATTCAAGAGATGCGTAGTTCTTTTGGAAAACATGTTTTTCTTTTAGCCTATTTACCTCGTTAACGTAAATAATACTCATTACATTGACACATGCATTATTTGTGATTAAAATAATGTTTGTTGGTAATGTATTAGCGACCCCCACAGATGTAGGATTTCACTGCGTCCGTGGGAGCTCAGACCCTCCTTAAGGGAGCTCAGCTCCCATTGGCTCCCACATAACTCGAACCCTGAATATGGCCATCTGAGTGTGTGTGGTACTGTTTGTGGTTTGTTTTTAACTGTGTAATACAGTTGATTATTCAATAATTATTATAATTTGTATACTGAATCTTGCACTACTGTTCAAAAATAAATAACAACAAACCTGGAATTATGCATTTGGGACTTTTTTAGCTTTTTCTTGTTGTACCGAACCCGTACCGAACCGTGATCCCCAAACCGAGGTACATACCGAACCGTGAATTATGTGAACCGCAACCGTTACACCCCTAAGCAGCAGTATTGTTTCTTGATAATAAAACATCCCATCTAATTGAAGAAGCAAATACAATGTCTGACTTTAAGCTATTGTTTATATATTGATCTTGTGTTTTCTATAACATTGTGATTTTTAACATAATGGAGGTGGAGGCTCCAAATAAGGCCAGCTGGTTTTTTGTCTCTTCCTGCACTGCTTATCATTTGTTATTTGTTATGTTTCTGTATTTTCAAATTGTGCGAACCAATAAATTCCAAAACAAAATGTTTGCCTCAGGATACTTATTCAGAAGTTAGCAGCAAAAACTGACAAGATTGCTGAGCCTTGTCTTTGTATTGGGCAACAAGTCATGTCTGAGTGGGTTTAAATATATCCTGATTTTATTTCAGGTATTGGACAACATTTTTTTCAAATACTGAACAATGGAAAACTACTCAGTGTGTGGCAAGCATTTGTCTACCAGAGGGAAACTATAAAGGTTTTTGTTGTTGTTCAAATCACATGTGCTGAACTTGTTTCTCCTCTCCCCCTTTCTCTCATTTCTACAGGCTCTGCTCTGCGGCGTCGCTGGCTAGTGGTCCAACTCCTGATGCAGGTGTGGCTGGCGGCAAATCCATCTTTGAGCGAGCGCCAATGCCCCAAGAGCTGTCGCTGTGATGGGAAAATTGTCTACTGTGAGTCAAGCGCCTTTCGAGATGTCCCCAAGAACCTCTCTGGAGGCTGTGAAGGCCTGTCTTTACGGTACAACAGCCTCGTCAGTCTTCGAGCAGGCCAGTTTGTAGGCCTCAACCACCTCATCTGGCTCTACTTGGACCACAATTACATTGCCACTGTGGATGTAATGGCCTTTCAGGGGGTCCGCAGGCTCAAGGAGCTGATCCTGAGTTCCAACAAGATCACGTCCCTCCACAACACCACATTCCACCCTGTCCCTAATTTGCGAAATCTGGACCTGTCGTATAACAAACTGCAAGCCTTGCAGCCTGGGCAGTTCCAGGGCCTACGGAAGCTTCTCAGCCTACACATACGGTCAAATTCCCTTAAAACCGTCCCAATGCGTCTTTTCCAAGATTGCAGAAATCTTGAGTTTCTGGATCTGGGATACAACCGCCTGCGCAGTATCACCCGGAATGCATTTTCAGGCCTAGTGAAGCTCACTGAGCTGCATCTGGAGCATAATCAGTTCTCAAAGATCAATTTCTCACACTTCCCTCGCCTCTACAATCTGCGGGCGCTTTACCTGCAGTGGAATCGCATTCGCTCAATGAGCCAGGGCCTGACCTGGACTTGGGCCTCCATCCAGAAACTGGATCTGTCTGGAAATGATTTGATGGAAGTTGATGCTGTGGTTTACCAATGCCTACCCAACCTCCAGACCCTCAATCTGGACTCCAACAAGCTGACCAACATCTCCCAGGAGGTGGCTGATGCCTGGATCTCTCTGACAACGATTAGCCTAGCTGGGAATGTATGGGACTGTAGCCCTGCGATCTGTCCTCTGGTGTCATGGCTGAGGAATTTCAAAGGTGCAAAGGAGACCACGATGATCTGCGCCTCCCCCAAGAAAGCCCAGGGTGAGAAAGTGATGGACGCTGTCGAAGCTTTTGGTGTTTGTCAATCGAACCAACCGGCAACGCTCACTGTGAGTATTCCTCCATCCCCGTCCAGCATCCCTGTGCAGACTGAACGCCGCCCAGCTATTCTGGCTTTTCCCACTAGTCCTGGAAAGAGAGGAGAGGGGTCTATCAGAGGCCCCACATTGTCAGCTGTTACCCCCCCTGTGGCACCTCCGCCAGAACAAGACATGGAACCCGTGTCCTTCCATAAGATTGTGGCTGGAAGCGTCGCCCTTTTTCTATCGGTTGCCATGATCCTGTTGGTTATCTACGTGTCTTGGAAGCGCTATCCTAGTAGCGTCAAGCAGCTGCAGGAGCATTCGGCAGCAGCCCGCAAACGTCGCAAGAAAGCCAGAGAGACGGAGCGCACCCTGAGCTCTCCACTGCAGGAGTACTATGTGGACTACAAGCCCACCAATTCTGAGGCCATGGACGTGCTCGTGAACGGGACCGGACCCTGCACCTACACCATCTCAGGCTCCCGAGAATGCGAGGTATGACCCACACCACCGCCACTCCTCCTAAAGCAAACTATGTGCACAGCTCGGCGACCCGAGGTAATTATTTACTCTCTGCTTTGATAGATGATAAATCCGCCACTTGATTACTTAACCTCACGCAGCAGGTTTGGTGAACACTGTGTACCCACGGATTATTTAGGCGAGTAATTTTAGCATTACTTTGTGTATAGCGGAACGTCTCTCGCTTTCAGACGGGTGTTTGTATATTCGCTTAAACCTTAATCTCTGTTGAGATGCAAATGTTTGTTTTGCTGCAAAATTGTACAGACATACAGATAAATGAGACAGATTACGGTTTCTATTTTGCATAATCTTGAGCCTAAACTATGCTGTTTGTGATAAGACCTTTGTGCTTGTTTAGGAACTTGCTTGCCTTTTTTGCTTGGGTATAACAGGCTCTGTGTGTTTGCTCTACTGCTGTGCAGTGTTTGGGTAGTACTGTGAAGGGAAACAAGCTGAATTGTGGGAAGATCTTTTTTTGGACACTTGATGTGAATACTAAAAGAGACTTGTCACTGTATAGAGTTTCCCCTGAGCTGATGACTTCGCACATTTCTTGACATAGCAATGACTCCAAATAGTCGGGGAAACACTCGTACCCCCCCAACTGTGCATCCTTTCTGACGTTTTCTTTTCCTTTTCACACTGACTTGCTCACCAGCGTAATTGATCGGTCACACACAAACTGAAATGCATACTTTCACCGGTCATCCACAATGTATTTCACATAGGAATAGAAAAAAGCACATTTTGTGATATAAGAACATCTGCACACACTCTGAAAGAAGAAGTGTTGGATAGCCCTGAAAGGAGTGGGAATCCTTTGAAATGTTTTGTACACTGACAAGTGAATTTCTTCAAAACAGTATTTACAGACTAAAGCAATGTGGGAATACGACTTTTTGCTTTCAGCTACACTCTTGTGTACCTGATGGGGGTGTTATCATGTTATGTAGCCAAACATGGAGCACAGCTTAATATTAAGCAAACAATGTGCACATAATGTATAAGGCTAGACATGATTGGCTATGCTAATATAGTATATTCCACACAAGAACATCACAAATACACCTCAAAATATTCTAAAGACATTGACTTTTAAATGTTGTAAAAATAAGAGATATTATTTGTTTAGGGCTGGTTTCTATTTTTCATAAGCTTGATGTTGTTGAGGCCACCCCCTCTAATTCAAATCATAAGCTATATATTAGCAAGCATGTAAGAGAAATCTGCTTACAGAACTATATAGGAAAATACTTGATGTGGAAATAAATATGACCTTAATAAAGAACATATAATACAGTTAGTTCACAATATCAAACATTACAAAAATTAATATCGATTGAGTTTTTATAGCATTTTACAGATGGATGTGGTAATTATTATTGGAAATGAATTGTAAAAAATATGTTTGACTGACAACACGTAATTTAAGGTGTCTTTAAAAACATAATATCATAATGTTACCACGGTGAAGCAGTGCTTAAAGTTATATCATATTTGAGAAACAATGGAAGGCTATTGCACTTTGGATCAGGAGGATTTGGCAGCCACTGGGAGGAGGGGATACTGTCAAATTAGGTGACTGCAAATATATTTAAAAAATGCATTGGTTGACTTTCAGTATGTCGCATTACAAGGGATAACATGGCTGATATACTTTGCCGATGCCACTTGGTTCAGGGCTCTCATATTGCATTGCATATGATCTATGAAAGGTTCCCCCTCCCCTTTACTTCCACTCTAACATATCAGACACAGAATACCTCCCAGCCTCCCCATTAGTGTGAGCCAGAAGCAGACCTGCCGTTTACCATGGAAATTCCTGCATCTATCATTAGCCTTTTATCTTGACTTGATTGAACTTGGCAATTTAGCTTACTCTTTTATCTGCGAGCCAAATAAAGCGGGAATTAACCCATACTAATAAGGGCAAGGACCAAACAAAAATTACACAGACGGCAGAGTGAAACACCTAGGAAAGAAACATATTTGTAATTCACATGAAAGCATTTGAAGGAATTTTCAACAAAGAAGCAGGAGCTGGAGGACAAGCACATTTTGTTCTTTATGATTTCAGTGCAAAACGGGAATATATCAAGTAATTATAGGTTGGTGATGAAAGTGTATTGAAGTGAAACACTCTGAACAAAAGTTAATAGAGTATATTGCAAGCACTGGGCTCCCAACAGAAAGTTTACAATTACACAGCTCTGATTCTTATCAACATGTATTTCATCACGCAGTCTTCAGCAGGTTCAAATACTCTGTTGCTCCACCTCCTTATATAAGCTATACCTGAGGGAGGGAAGCTGGCACATACTGCACAGGCAATGTCAATCAGGCTATAGCTGAATGAATTTGTAGTCTTCACAAGGTGTATATCACTTATATGTATTCATAACAGGCCTTAATTATCAATAAAAGAACATGTGAACAAAGCTAATCAAAGCATTCAATATTACTGTGAAAAAAAGAAGGTAAATAATCAATTGGATAGGGAACAGTACGATGTTTTAAAGTATCCTTGATGAATGTAACATAATAGTCGTAATTATTAAGTTAAATGTATTTATTTGTTTAGCTTTTTAACTTAACAAAATGTCTAAGATAGATCTTCTTCCGGACAGAATCAAGTTAACATTCTTATGCATTAGTGGCTGTAAATTGGCGCCTTGGTTAGCTTCCATACAATACATGTGTTCTAGAAATGAACTGAACTCCAGTATAGGGGATTATGTATTGTCATTGTTATGGCATGTTTGCCTATGATCTCTTACAGTGCAACCTGTATATTCATATCATGACACCCTCTTCCCTCACTGAACTCTCCTCCATTTTGTTTCTCGAGGTATCCTTGACAATGCTTCCCCTCCAGCTCCAGCCTTATCACTTTCTCCGTCTCATCTTAAAACATTATAGAGCCGAGACAGGGACCATCAGTCAGCGGTCCGAAAAGTCCGGAGTTCATCTGAGGATGTGCTCCGATCATGTTGCTACATTTTGTTTCTCTCGCGTGTACATAAATCACTCTTTTGCAGAACGCCGGGGCACCTGCTACGCTCTCTCTCAGGCCTCGAGGCCATTGCGGCTCAGGTCTGTTCATCTCCTCCGAGTGGGAATTGCTTATTCCTCCTCTGTCACTCATACCATTTTCTGTCATTTGGGATTCTGTATCATCGCTATAACTCAGCACAGACCTCTTCACATGATTGTCCTTTATCAGCCATGAGGACCACCTGACATAGATGTGAGAGTTTGGCAGCCTTTTACATGAATTGCCAAGAGAATTTCACAATACTAGTATATTACCTACGTCATTTCAACCGTCCCACAGAGAGGATTATTTCTATGATTTCTCTCTTCCTTTGATCTTTCCCATTCTAGCTGTGTAATTTATATTGGCAGTGACCTGATCTTGAGTGTCCCTTTTTCATGTATCAGAGCATCACCCTCCGTCCTTTCACCAATGTATTTCCTAACCTATAATGCAACCTGGCAACAACACACATTCACACAATTCTGTCTATTTTTTCTTTCCCTTTATACAATTGATATCAGTCCTGTAACCTTATCACAGTCTTTTGGCCTCTACCCTTTGTCCATCCAGATCCACTCATGCTGTACCCTGCCCTTTGGCTATCTGAAAGTGGCTTAAATGTTCTACTTTGATAATGATTTTGATCATAAGCCCAACCATCTATCTAGTAGTTCAACCCATTAATCACTTCCACATCTTATCCAACTTGTCCTTAGAAGTCCTAGAACTCAATTCTACCAGGAATGACCTTTTGACTCTTGCTGACCTTTTTCTAATCAACACTTACTTTAATGCCACACTGCATATAGCTGTACTTGATTTAATGGTTTCTTTTTTTTTACAAATCGCTGACCTCTGATGAGTGAAACCTAGAAAAATATGGCAGCCTTTTTTCTCATGAATGTGCTGACCTTTAACCGGTTTTCTGTAAAGGTCTTAGCACCATGCTGAGGTTGCTCTCATTTCTGCCACTATAGTAACACAGCATTGAGGGAAATTATTAAATTCTCTGCACCTCCCTGCTGATTTTAATACGATAATCCTTAAAAGCTGATAAGCGGACCTTCCAACACTCTGTATTTCACTCTACCAGTTATTTATTTGTTTGCCTCATTCTGGTATTTTCTACTGAACGTTATTAGCAGAGACACTATTCACAAGCACACTTATTTGCTTAGTTGATATCAGGAAACAAACAGGTCATTTGTATTTGTTTTTTTGTGAAGGCATTCTTCATTTCTGACATGCACCTCTGCTTTCAGCCTCTCTCGCTGTTTTACACACACTGTGAACTCTATCTCATGTCTGTTTCAGCAGGTTGTCAAATATTTATTATAGGAGGAAGCTTTGTGTGGGGTTTGTTGTATTCCTTTTATTGCTTCAGATAAAATGCTACTTCTGTCTCCGTCAAAGGCTGTGATGTAAGAGGCTGAAATGAGAAAAAGTACACGCATTTTTGTTCAAAGTTTAGGTGTCAAAATACGTTGGAGCTAATTACTCGGTTGTCTCTGTTCAGTATTAGCATGTTCTCCAAGTGTGAGGGAGCGTCCCTCTCTCCCTCTTTCCGCAGTCCAAGGTCACGGTGTCAGATTGTTAATTGCTTGGGGGGGGGAAAAATGCAACATAAACACTGGGAGGCTAGCCAAGGGCAAGTTAGCTCTCTTTAATTCAGAGGGGAGGCTGAACTTCTCGATGCTAGTATCTTCACTCGACAATTAGCCATGTGGGAGACTTCAAACATCCACTGCGCGGCAAGAGAACATCTCTCTCATCCGCTAATCCTGTCTGTTTCACACTCTGGTTCCACGCTGCTGCTTTGTTGCACCCCTGTTTGATCCATGCTTAATGAGGGTGTTAGATCACCAATACAGCAATTACATTACCTGGAAAAGAGGCAATACTTTCCTTTTCCTTTTCTCCCAGCTTTAACAAT